CGTGGGGGGGGGGGGAGGAGGGAGGTGCCCGCCATCTCCTGAGGCTCCTGGATGTGAGGAAGGGCGTGGAGGCGGGGCGGCCGCGGCCTGCCCTCCTCTGGCGCAGGTGTGCAGGGGCTGGCGGGTGTAGGGGTACAGGAAAAGGTCGGGGGTGTGTAGTTAGAGGTGAACCCACTCGGTGATTGCCCGCCCCCGCCCCCCAGGGCCCCCTGCCCACCAAGTGGCCAGGCCTCCTCCTCCTCCTCCTCCTCCTCCTCCTCCTCCTCCTCTATATCTCTTCCTCCTTCTCCTCCTCCTCCTCCTCTTCCTCCTCCTTCTCTCTCTCTCTTCCTCCTCCTCCTCCTCCTCCTCCTTCTTGATTATTTTTCCTTTCTATATTGCCCCCTGTCGCACCTCGGGGCCGGTCGGAAGGGCTGGCCTGGTGCTTCGCCCGAGACTTCCACACCCTTTACGATCCTGAATCTCAGAGGCTGGCAGCAGCCCCACAGATTGAGGGCGGGCCGCTTGCAAAATGTGGTTATCGCCTTTGCGCCGAGCACATTCGTCTTAAGCATGTGCAAGAGTTTCAAGGGATCGGGGGAGGGTCGTTTTCAAAATGTTGCGCTCGCCTTAGCGCCGCGCGCATTCGTTTTGAACATCTGTAAGAGTTTCGCGGGTTGAGGGCGGGCTGTTTTCAACATTTGTCTCTCGCCTTGGCGCCGCGCGTGTTCTTCTTAAACAGTTGCAAGAGCTTCACAGAGGGCGGGCGGGCCGTTGTCAAAATGTGGCTCTCGCCTTGGCGCCGCGCACCGTCGTCGTAAACTCCCAGGGGCCACGACGCGCTGGGCGCACGCTGGGTCCCCACCGCGCCGCCGTGGGCACGTGATAGTGTGTGCCGCGCGCGCACGCGCCAGTCGCGCGCTGGGCCCCCCCCCCGCGCCCAAGTTGGGTCCCCCCCCTGGGGGCCGTGGCCTCGTGACAGTATGTGCCCCGCGCGCACGCGCCAGGCGCACGTTTGGTCCTCCCTCCTTGTGTGTGTTTTTTGAATAGGGGGCCGTGGCCTCGTAACAGTATGTGTCCCGGGCGCACGCGCCAGGCGCACGTTGGGCCCCCCACCCGCTCCCAAGTTGGGTCCCCCCCTTCGTGGCCCGTCGCGGTCGTGGTCGTGGTCGTGGTCGTGGTCGTCGCAGTCGCGGCCGTGGTCGTGGTCGTGGTCGTGGTCGCGGTCGCGGTCGCGGTCGCGGTCGCTGTCGTGGTCGTGGTCGTGGTCGTGGTCGTGGTCGTGGTCGTGGTCGTGGTCGTCGTTGCGTCGTCGTCGTCGTCGTCGTCGTCGTCGTCGTCGTCGTCGTCGTCGTCGTCGTCGTTGTCGTTGTCCTCGTCATCGGCCATCGGGGATCGGGGATCGGGGATCGAGGCTTCTGGGTGTTCCTGGGCGGACTGGGCCGCTCTTGGCCGCTCCCGCTCTGGTGGCCTCCAGGGGGGGGGGGCTTGATGCTTTCTCTGGGGGGCGTGACGCGCGGGTCGCCGCTCTGCCGGCCGATGGCCGCCGTCGCAGCGACCAGCCCGCTGCTGGGCCCCGACCCTCGGCGAACGAGCGAGGGGGGGATTTCGGGGTTCGAACTTCGAGGTTCTAGGTTTTCGGGCGTTTTCGTAGTTCGAGCTTCGAGGTTCGAACTTCGAGGTTCTAGGTTTTCGGGCGTTTTCGTAGATTCTTGGCGGTCTTCCGCCCTCGGGATGCGTTCCGGCGGCTGCGCCTCGCCGAGGGCGCTCCAGGGGTGCCTGGATCGTCCCGAACGCCCGCCGGAGACCCGAGTTATGACCCGAAGACCACATTCGACGGAGAGCGAGGGGGGGAAGTGACAAGGCGAAGGCCTTCTCAGAAGGCGGCGGGACTTCTCAGAAGCCCTCGCGCCCTCTTGCCGTTTTTTTTTTTTTTTTTTTTTTTTTTTTTGTTTTTTTTTTTTTTTTTTTTTTTTTTTTTTTTTTTTTTTTTTTGTTATGTTTTTTTTTTCCGTCTTCCGGGAAGGCCTAGACAACTTCTCAGAAGGCCTGGGGATTTCCAGGCCTTCTGAGAAGGCCCGCCCCTTCTCACTTTTCTCCCTCGCTCGCCGCCCTGACCCGGTGCTGGGCCATGAAGACTCGGACGGCCAAGGCCTGACCGATCTTGGCTCGGCCGCAGGTGGGCGAAGGAAGGAAAGTGGGGGCCGGCTGCGCGGGCGCTCGCCCGCGTAAGGTTGCGCGTAGGCGCCCTCGTTTCCAACGGCGTGGCGCGCCGCGCGGGCGGCCCGCGTGAGCCACCGCGTAAGGTCGCTGTGCCATCTCGCGTGAGGCCCGTTGCTGTTCGTCGCTCAGGTGGCGAGTGGCCGACACGTCGGTCTCTCTGGCTGGGCCTGGGGCGGTCGACCACGGATCGGGGGTCGCCAGGTCAGGCCGTAGGCAGGCCTCGGATCGCTCGCGGGCCCGAGGACGAGGAGGCGCTGCTGGGCTTGCTGCAGTCGAGGCCGTGGGCGTGCGTGCTGTTCGCCGCGGGCCAGGCGGAGGACGGGGGGCCGAGTTTCGGAACCCACAGATGTACGCCGCCGCCGCGGGCTGTTTTTGCCATGGAGTTGGATTGGGTCAATGCTTCGGCGGTGGGTCGCCAGGTGTGTCCAATCACGCGGTGATAGCATGTCGTCTGCGCAGCTTCGTTTTGGGGCGCGGTTCTCGGCGGTCGCGCGCGTGTTTTTTGTTCGGCACTCGGGCGCGCGGTTCTCGGCGGTCGCGCTCGTGATTTTTGACTGCTCTACTGCCGCCCGGTGGTGGTGTATGTTTGAGGGCCCCGCACAAGCGAAGGGCTGTGCCAGCAGGCGCCTGGCGCTGAAGAGCATCCAAAGGCACGCACAAACCGCCGGGGGCCGTGCGGGCTTCTCTGGTCGGCGCTCGACTCTCCCCGGCGTCGCCTCTGACGCCGCCCCCGGCGCGCGGGTCTGGCGCCTGCCCAAGAGCTCCGCGCGGACCTCCCAAGAGATTCGTGTTTGTGCCTTTTTTCCGTTCTGTACAGCAGGCGCCCTTCAGGGGGCGCAGGGTTCACGGCGTCCCCCGAGGGGCCCCCCTCCACTTCGGGAGGCTTATACCCGCAGACGGCATCCATGCACCACCACCGACCGCGCCTGGCCAGGGCCATCTTGGGCCCCACCGTGGTGTATTACGCCCTCCTGGCATCGGCCAGGCGGGCGTATACGCCATGCCAGGGGCCCAGGCTGGCCCTGGCCAGCCACGGTGGTGGTGCACGGATGCCTTCTGCGTAGGCTTCGGTCATGGGCGAGGGCGCCTTCCTGGCCCCCTCCGCTCCTGGGCCTGCTCTCCCCAGCGTCGGCCCCAGCCTCGGACTCTGGGCATCGGGCGAGGGATTCTCGGCCGCGGGGAGGCTTAGGTCAGGGGCGAGGACGCCTTCCTGGCTCCCTCCGCTTTTGGGCCCGTTCTCCCCAGCATCGGCCCTGGCCTCGGACTCCTTGGGACTCGGGTGAGGGGTCCTCGGCCGCGACCCCCCCCCGACCCTGACGCTCTCGATTTACCCAGACCTCCGACGCCTTGGCCTTTTTTCACAGCGTGGGCTTCCAGAGGTTTCCTGGGAATGGGCGCGGGGGTTGCTAAGGGGATATGGGGGGTTACCAGTGGACTCAAAGGTGGGTCATATCTGGTTTAACCTAGCTCGTAAGTGGATTACACATGCCCCGAGTGGCTTAGGGGGATCAGACAACTTTGGTGGGTGGAGCCCACTTAGTCTGGGTCGCTGTCCCCCCCCAGGCCACTTGGGGCATTAGCAACCCACTAATGAGCAAGGTTAGGCCAGGCATAACCCACTTTGGCATCCACTGATGACCCCTCTATCCCTCAGCCGCCCCCGCGCCCATCCCAGCAGACCCCTTCCCTGGGACCGGCCTTTCGTCCCGACCAGTTTCTGTTGACGGCCCCGTGGCCCGGAGATGGGTGAGGCACCCGAGGCCGACAAAATGGCCCCCAATTCCCGAGCACAAGGAGAGGAGCTGGGGCATGACCTCCACCACACCCTGGCGCTCTCGGTTAGGGCTTGTCATTGCTCGCCGAGAGGAGGGCGACGTGGAGACGCTGACGCACGCGCTGCACCTGCTGCGTGCGGTGCTGCGCTGTGCGCAGCCGCCGCCCGTGTGGCTCGTGACGCGCGGTGCGCA